TGTTCTATCTATTTTATACTATGTTATTAAACAGACAGTAACTGTGAGTTGTAAGTAGTTTGACCATGTGTTTTGGGGGTTTTTTGGTTTTGGTTTTGTTTTGGTTTGTTTTGGTTTTTAGCTGGGAATTTAAACAGCAAAAATTACAGCTATTCTTTGCTCTATTTTGGAAGTCTTTCCTACTTTTCAAAGCAATTTTGAAAGTATATCTTTTTCAAAGTTAGGCATTTCATATTGATAGTTACAGCACTCATCACTTTATCACTTGAACCCCTCAACGTTTTGGCCCTGTCAGCACATAAATCCTTCCTCACTTAGAGTCATAGCAATGGCCAATTCAAAGACATTTTAAGGAAAATAAATATGCAAACATTATAAATCCACATGTGTCTTCCTCTTTCTCTGTTCTTCCGAATGCCAAGGACTAATTTCCTGCTTCCGAGGCAGCAAGCTGTGCCAGCTGACCCTGGGACCCCTTCTTCTCGGAGATCCTCTGAGATGAGAGAAAAGCAGTTTGGTCCCTTCCACTCAAGCACCTTGTGGTGGAACAACCCGGAGACCTTCTGTCCTAGCTTCAGAGAGAAACAAAGCATTGCCTGAACACAAAGTGGTGGGAACTTGCTTGCTTGCATCCCACTCTTCCAGAACGGCTCCTACCCAACCGGGCACGGTTTTACCAACAGAGACCTGGTTTGAGGTAAGACAGAACCAACTTTCTTTGAAATTAACTCCATATTGGGCAGAAAACTGTTTGTTCTTGATCAAAACTCTTAAATCTCTTTATCTCTCCTCCTCCTCTCACAGAAAACTGTTTGTTCTCGTTCTAAACTTGTAAATCCCTTTATCTCTCCTCCTCCTCTCCTTGGAGTGAGAGGTGGGGGGAGAGCATCTGTCACTGGTCATTGGCCAGGGTGGCCTAAACCACGACAGAGGGCTGTAGGTTGCTCCATCGTTAGCAGCCGCCCATAATTAGCAGCCACCCGCGCAGTACCTGTGTTTTTCACCACAAAAAGGGGCAGTGGGGGCTCTTAGGACCGTGCAGCTTCTGGCAATCCAGAGCCAGGCTGCAGATGGCCGTAGGAGGCTGCATCCCAGGGGCTGGGGCTCCTGCGCAGACTTCCCGTGTTTATCCACAGGATAGGCCATGACTTGATTGGGTAAAGAGATTAATTCCGTCTAAAAAGAAAGTATTCATTTGACGGGGAACGGTTGTTGTGTTTGAAACGAAGATGGCCCCAGGCAAAAAAAAAAAACAACCCAGATTGCTTGGCTGAGTGACTTGTTGGCTGGTCTCTGGCTGCCTTTGGAATGGCTCTTCAGCCTCACACGCCACATAATGGTGGGTTTCTCCAGCCTGCGTGTTTTCTTACAAGGACTTTTGTCTAATCACTAGCTGAGAATCCAGCCTACTGTGTACGTTGTAAAAGAAGCTGTTTATACTTGGGCTTTTAGTCCACCATCTGTGCACAGCTCAGCTGCAACTTCTCCGCGGATCTGTTTCCCCTCTGCTGCCAAGTCCCTGTTGCAAGCCCTCAGAAAAGCATGACTGACGTCAGGCTTTCTAACAAAATTCAGGCTCTTTGCAAGCTCTCTTTAAAAAACACCTATCCCCCGTTCTCAGGAAATGCAGTGGTACGGACTTATTGCTTTTCTCCCAGCTCACTGATTCATACCCGAGCGGCGCTGAAGCATAACCTGTTATATGTGCAATTACTGATGCATATGTACCTCCACGCTGCCCTTGCTTAACGTGTCTCCCCTTCTCCCAGCCATTGACACAAATTCATTCAGGCACCAGAGCTGCTGGTGCACGCACAACCCATTTACACCGCACCTTGTAATCACTTTTTATTTTAAAACCCATCTTCTTTTAAGGAACAGCCGCTGCGCTAATCCTCGGGGGGAATATTTGGAGCCCGGGCTTCCTTCCTCAAAGTAGGACACTTTTTTGTGAGAAGCAGAAACAAGCTACACGCTCGGTAACCTGTGGGTTTGGGTCCTCTGTCAGTGCACAGATGAGGAAGACCAGAGATAAGAAAAGAAATGCTATTTCACCTGCCCCACAGAGCCTCACATCTTTACAGGTAAGCCTTCTGGTGTGCAGAGTATTGGCATAAGCCTGAGCAGATGTTCAAATTAAAGACGAAGCCTATTACAGAGATAAAAAGGGGAAAGACAAACGTACTTCTGATATTCTCTTTCAGAACAGGAGTGTTTTTCCTGGAGGTTAATTCTGCTCAAAAAGAGATGCTGGAGTGCTACCGAGAGACACCCTAGACTGGTTGTAAATGAGCTTCCAGGTGCTGCCCCAAATAATTCTGATGCAAAATTTGTCCTCATCTTAGACACTTAACGACTGACCTTGCAGCTCTTTTGGCAAGAGAGAGGAACCTGAGCGAAGTTAGGGTTATCAGACGGTTTGCAGGCCACGAATAGCCTGGTGTTGCTGTGAGGAGCTGCAGAAATAGGGGTGGTGAGACCACAGCTAGAAAAGCCCCTACGCAGAGCCAGTCATTTCACTTCCACCTCATTGTCCCCGTTCTGCTTCAGCACCTGCGTTTTCAACCCTCTCTCCCTGGCCAAGCCCAGGGGCCAGCTGTGGCTGAGGAGCTTGCAATCAACTTGCCCGGTGGCAGGGAGGAGGGCAAGCAGCCCAGGGTGTGTGGCACCCAGTGAGTGGCACCCCCTCTCCCACCACCCTTCCTGCCCCATGTTATCCGAGATGCACAAAGGAGGACTTGCCACGGGGCCGGTGTTCGCCCACGTCACGACCACACGCCCATCCTGCCAACCCTTTGAGATGTCTTCAGGATAACAGCCAGACTGGTGTGGAGGCTGCTGAGCACCTCTGCTGCTAAAGGGGAGAAGGCTGTGCACCCGGGTACCGCAGGAAGAGATGGGAGCCGCAGGGGAATGCATGAATTAAAATGCGTGAATTAAATGCGGAATGCATGAATTAAAACCCAGTGCGTGCAACAAATAAAGCACAGCGTAGGAGAGGACCTTTAGAAGTCCTTCCTTCAAAGTCTGGTGGCATAGTGAGGAATCACCCTGCAGGCACAGAAAGAGGACTGAGAGGAATCGTGCAGGGAGAGAGTAAGGTGGCCATTGTACACCTGTACCAGTACAAAGGCCAAACTGGTTTTTGCTGCCCCCAGGAATGAGGACTGGGGACTTGAGTTCCTCCTCCTGAGGAACCATGAAAGCGAGGCGTGCTGCTCCTCAGAAGGGTGAGGAACCTCCTGACTGTTCCTCACTTTTGGGATTGGCTTGCCTGATTTGGTTTTGGCAACTTTGAAACGAGGACTTAAAAAGGATCACGTTATTGTTACTATTAGATTGCTTTATCACTATTATTTTTATTGCTGTTCTTCCTGGAGAGAGGAGGTGGGATCCCATGGGGCTGGTTACACCACGCTCCAAGAACAAAAAGCTGTCAGGAAAGGGGAAAGCCCTGGGAAACAAGGCAATCCCACCGGCCAGCAAAGCCAACGGCAGCCACAGCACCTCACCGTCCCCACCAGGAAAAACGGAGAGCTTCACAAGGTTTGGATGGGGAAGCAACGCAGCGGCTCTGCTGACGTTTACAGAGTTCACCAGGGCAGCAAAATTGCCCATTGGAAAATAAAAAAAATAGTATGTTTGAGCGGGTCATCAGGCTTGCTTTCACCGGGCAGAGGGCCAGAGCATACCTTGCAGGAGGAGAGAAGCTGCCAGCAGCATTCAGTGTTAAGGTGGGTACGTACCTACTTGGATAGGCCACAGAGGGAGACCTTCACGTGGGGTGGGTGACACACCACATAAAATAGACACTAGAGCAGTTCCTGGGGCTACCTGTGTGACCGGGGGCCAGAGCACACCTTGCAGGAGGAGAGAAGCTGCCAGCAGCCTTCAGTGTTAAGGTGGGTACGTACCTACTTGGATAGGCCACAGAGGGAGACCTTCACGTGGGGTGGGTGACACACCACATAAAATAGACACTAGAGCAGTTCCTGGGGCTACCTGTGTGACCGGAGCAAGATGATCATAGCTGGAGATGATGAGGAAGCAGCCACATAAACATGAAAGGGGCCAACAAGTGCTTAGGTGGAAAATCATAGAATGAAGGTTGGAAGGACCTTCAAGACCATTGAGTTCCAACCTCCCTGCCCTGGGCAGGGACATCTCCCACCAGACCAGGTTGCTCCAAGCCCCATCCAGCCTGGCCTTGAACCCCTCCAGGGATGGGGCAGCCACAGCTTCTCTGGGCAACCTGGGCCAGGCTCTCACCACCCGCACACCAAAGAATTGCTTCCTGAGATCTAAATCTCCCCTCTTTTCAGTTTAAAACTGTTCCCCCCTCATCCTATGGCTCCCCTCCTTGACCAAGAGTCCCTCCCCATCTCTCCTGGAGCCCCTTGAGGGACTGGAAGGGGCTCTAAGGTCTCCCCGGAGCCTTCTTTTCTCCAGGCTGAACCCCCCCAACTCTCTCAGCCTGTCCTCACAGCAGAGGGGCTTCAGCCCTTAGATAAGATAGATAGATCGTGTCCTTCTCTGGCCCCACTCCAACAGGTCCATGTCCTTCCTGTGCTGAGGACTCCAGAGCTGGACACAGAGCTCCAGGTGGAGTCTCCCCAGAACGGAGCAGAGGGGGCAGAATCCCCCCCTGGCCCTGCTGGCCACGCTGCTGGGGATGCAGCCCAGGATGGGGTTGTGTTTCTGGGCTGTGAGCCCACGTTGCCGGCTCATGTTGAGCTTCTCATCCACCAACACCCCCAAGTGCTTCTCCTCAGGGCTGCTCTCCAGCCATTCCCCACCTGGGATTGCCCCGGCGCGTTACTTAGTGTGAGGAGTGAGTACGAAAGCGATGTGGCGGCCCTCGCCGACAGCGAGCGGGGTTTCCCGGGGGGCAGGCCCAGGCCAGGCCCCGGCTCCGGGCGGCCTCCCCCCCTCGCCTTGGCGGGGGCGGCCCGCCCCGGGGCTGGCTCAGCGCAGCCGCCGGCTCCTCCCCGCGGGGGCCAGGGGCAGAGCCAGGGCCACATCGGCGGAGGAAGGCGGGCAGGCAGGCAGCGGAGCGGGGAGCCGAGCCCGAGCGACAGGTAGGCGCTGTGGGGCCCGGGGAGCGGGGTGGGCCCAGCCCGGCGGAGAGGGTGAGGGCCCCTCCGGCGGCTCCGCTCCCCTGGGCCGGGGGTCGCGGAGGGGCCGGGGCCAG